TATTTTAGATAAAGGATGTAAAGATAAAGTATTTCGTGATATTTGTTTACATGCTATGAATCTTTGGAAAAATTTTGATGGAAATGCAAATAGTTGTAAAATTTTATTAACACAACTTAGAAAATATTCAGAATAAACTGAACCATATGATATGGAATATATTGAAGATTATGATACACCTGAAATTTGGTAAACAACCAGATAATTATATACAACATTTAGCACTAAAAATGTTTGCTATTGTTCCTCATCAAGCTGCATGTAAAAGAGTATTCTCAGTTTTAAATTGGATGTTAGGAAATAAAAGAACAAGGTATAGTTAATATTAATTTAAAATAATAATTTTACTAATTTTAATAATTTATATTTAAAAATTTTTATAGATTAAATATTAATCATCTTTAATCAATGGCACAAATTCATTCATTTTATATTACAAATGTAAAATCTGAATTAAAATTTTCTAGAGAAAATTTTAATGAAGAAGAACTTGAAACTATAGTTAATGAAATATCAGAAAGTTTAATTGATGATAGTAATCTTTTTGATGATAATGAAATTATAGATGAAAATGAAAATAAAGATGAAGATGAAGATAGTAGTCTTGATTTAGATGATGAAAAAGATGAAACTAATCTTAATGATTTACTTATAGCAGAATTAATAGATTTAAATTTTTATGATAATAATGAATCTGAAACTAATTTATCTTTATATCAACAACAATTAGAAAATGAAGAAGATTTAAATATTGATTTAGAAGCAATACTTGCTGAAGAATTTCAAAATTAAAATATAATTTATATTTATATATTAATTTTTTAAATTATTAATTATAGTTTTTTTTCCTATTGTAGGTTTTTACTATAAAATTATTATTTGTTTTTTCCTATTGTAGGTCTTTCCTATTATAGGTTTTTTTTACTATAATGTAGCTCAAAATATTATAGTTTAAATATTTTTATTTAATTATTTACTTTATTTATATTTTATTTTTTATATATTTGTTATTTATTAAATTTTTATTAACAAATTTTTTAAAATTTTACTTGATTTTTATACTAGAAACCAAATGCTTTAAATATTATAAAATATAAGGTAAAAGAAGGTATTATGATGCAAATAATTTTTACTATCAATATCTTGTAATCTAGCAATCAGAATCAAATGTTTTGGTAGCATTTAATTTATCACATTGAGATGAATTGAATGATATCAAAATTGTTTGATCTTGATCACTAGATCACAAGATATTACAAATTAAATTAAAAGCAAAAATCTTTATAAATTAGACATAGGGACCAATTATGATGCATACATAATATCTTGTGATCTAATGATTAGAATTGAATGATTTTGATACTATTCAATCTGTCACATTATATTGAATCTAATGGTATCAAAATCATTTGATTCTAATTGCTAGATCACAAGATACAAGCAATTAATAGTTAACTTTTAAAAAATTAAAAATAACAATCATAATATATTAATAACAGATTTTTTATTAAGTAAATTGACCTTTATTATTAAAACAATTATATTCACTGTAATAAATTCTACTTATCTTTAAATTTTCATAAAAATTGAATAATTTTTTATTAATTGATTTTTATAAATTACATTTCTGTACTAAAGAATGTATTATGATGCAACAAAGTTTTTTAAAAATGTCAAATTATCAGATTTTTACAAAAATTGAGAGGTATGTTGAATTTATTACTATAAATAAAATTGTTTAATAATAAAGATTGATTTATTTCATTAAAAAATCTGGTATTAATGTATTATAATTGTTTTACTAGTACGATCAGTATCAGTATCTGGGTACCTTATATTTCATGTAATACACATTTGATTTATACTGTATAGTGAAGAGTTTATTATCCTGGATGCTATATGAAGAGGATATATTAACCTATTAGAATTAGGATAATATATATAATTAAAAATTTTTTATAAAACATTTTCAAATATAGAAATCAAAATTTTCTACAAAATCATACAAACACGATCATTTGAACACTTCTATTCTAAGGGAACTCTAGGTTAAGATTACTTCCAAACCTAATATTTTTGTTCGAATCTAATATAATACAATTACAGAATTTCGAAATATAATATACAAAAAAATATCAGCTTCATTTCTGACATAATTACACTAAAATCAGGAATGCGATACAATTAAAATATGCCTTGTATAAGATAATAAATTTCCTAAGATAATAAATTTCACAAATTATATAATTACTACCAATAAAAAACTTCAAACTGGAAATTTAGATAGATTTAGTT